AACGATCAAATCACGCGCATGTCTCAATATACGCTTTGCGTCATCATGTACGTAAATAAAAAAAACTTCAAAATAAAAGCATTGCAGCTTCAGTCCATGCATCAGGTAAAATAAGAAAATATGTTTATTTTGTAATTTCCAATTAACGTTGCACGGGCCGGTCAGAGTCAATCAAAGGGCCGCATGCGGCCCGGGGGCCGTACAATGCCCAGGTTTGCTATAGAGTAAGATTCAGATTCTAATCCAGTAATCCATAGTTCAGTTTATTCCAACTGTTCAAAAAGAATTTGCTACAAAATTCAGTGGCAATGAGTAAAAATGTTTACGTGTTTTTTCAGAACGGAGATTTCTCGGTTTTTTGTTGGTTTCAGATGAGAGTGTTGTTGTATTATAAATAGTACCAGAGCTGATGTTTAAATTTATGAGGGAGTTGTAGGACTGGGACAGAGGTCAGAGGTCATTGCTAAGCAGATTCTTAAAAAAGAAAATGACTGCTCAGATACAGAAAATCCCCCCACTCTGAAGGGGAGGGGGTGGGGGGAGTGTCAAAACAAATACATATCCAGTTTTCTTCTTGTCAAGAAACTAATTATTACCACGAAAAGGCAAAAGGTGGGCAATAATGTAACTGTCTGTGTGTTTGTCTGTTTAAACTCTGGCATAAAAGGTAGCTGCCCATCTGCATGCTCTCAAAGAATGCTGGGTCATTAAATTGCTTTGAGGACCTGAGCTGATTATGATTGATGCAACTTGTATCCTGTTTACTAACCATTCTGCAGCCAACAGCTGTTTATTTGCAAGAGATTCAGCACAGATTTAATCTTACATTTCTTTGAGACTGCCAGATTAACAGTGAACAGCTACAACAAACAAGGCTGAGGCAGCATCCATCCTTTCCTTAGTTCTTGAATTCTTGTTCTTAGCTAAACAATCCAACATTACCCATAATGCAATCTAAATAGGGATGCACAATATTATCGGCATAGTATCGGTATCGGCCAATATTAGCGATAAAGTTAAATATTCAACATTCCATCAAAATAATTCACCGATATAAAAGACTTCTGTTTTAAGCTAATTTTTAATTTAAGAAATTGTCAAGTATATCTATTAATGCACTACTACTTATGCACTTTTCACACGTCACTTATTAGGTTGAGTTTAGATTTGTGAAAAATTACAAATTTGCACTGTTCAAGTGTTGTCATTGTGTTAGAGAGAGTAAATGTCATGAATAAATTTGACATTAAACATAATCCAAGTTGAAGTGTTATATCACTTTCAGCCCCTTTTTTGGCATCTGCATTTGGTAGCAGACCAAACTGACAAAGACCATGCAGAATAATGTAGTATTTTAATTCCACAGCAGGGAAATCTATGTAGTCTCTGTAAGTAGGTCTAGGGGAAAAAATATCGGTATTGGTACCGATTATCGGCCAAATAAGTTTTACCATATCAGCATATCGGATATCAGCCAAAAATCCAATATTGTGCATCCCTAAATCTAAACATTTATGAGCTAAAACCATTGTGTTCTGAAATGATGGCCGAAGCTGGTTCCACAACATCTCTGGCTCTGATAGACTTGGATCACGGTTGAATATTTACGACGCTTCCTCCTATTGTCCATTCCTAACTTCCTTTTCTTGGCCTTGTTGGTAAACGTCATTAGATTCTTGTAGAATTATTGTTTTCAAGTCAGTCCACGTGTTGCAAGGCGTAAGCAGGCCTTGTAAAACAACACCTTTAATATATAAAGCATATTTGTCCAATTGGTTTTCAAGGATGAAACTTCAGACTCAAAAACTCTGGTGCGAGGCTGTAAATAAGGAACCAACGATGCATTACGGTTCACAGCACAACAAACAGTGGACACTTTATTTTCTGCTGGTTGAGATGCAGCACAATATAAAACATAAAGGATTAATCTTGTAGCATTGAAGCTCCACACTCTTGTTGTTTTTGCCTCATTTGAGTCAAACACACAGTCAAAACGTTCTCTAATATCTTTTACAGTCCCCAAATATTTTTCTAAATGATGAAAATCTAATGACAAGTAAATGGAGATGTATCTCAAGCATTGTTACTCTGTGCTCACTTACCGAGTATCCTGAGTCTGTTTATGACGCCGTGCAAGGTGAAGAAAGCCCACAAGACCTGAGAGGAGTCCACGCAGAGCAGCCGCCCCCGCCCAGCTCCGTTCACCCCATGGTGCACTTCTCCACTGGGCAACAAGCTGAAGCTGAGAACGTCTCCAGAACAGGGCATGGGGAAGCCTCGGTGCACCACCCAATACTCTTTTCGGTCCAGGAGAACTTCAGGGTCAGCCGGCAGGTCTGCAGCGTGCAGACAAGCCGGGTCACAGGACGTCAAACCGAATGACAGCGCCCCGAAGTAAGGTAGGCCTAGGTGGCCCACCTCCAGGTACAAAGTCTCCCCCACGTGCAGCGGCCGGTCGCTGAACACCAGTGTCCGACTGCTGTCCAGAAAGTGGATACAGGCAGCCAAGCGGTCGGCTGAGAGAATCACATCAGAGCCACTGATGGGGTGAAAGTGCAAGTCATTGTCCAGCAGGGAGGGCAGGCCCCGGACCACCCGGGGGCCTGGGGTGGAGACAGTGGAGGAGGATGGGGGGGAGGAAGAGCAGCAGGGGATGAGCTGAGAGTAGCTGCTGAGCTGCAGGTTGGCCATCTTGGCAACAGCAGCCTGGTTGTTCTCCAGCTGATTGTTGCTGAAATTGGCGGAGTCGTGGCTGCTCTGGGGCAGGTAGGCACTCAGACGGGCCGCGCTTAGACAGCTGGAGCCCACGCTCTCAGCAAACGTGCTGTCTGTGTGCAAAAACAAGGACAGCATTTTAGCATGGCAGCACATAAAATATTCCAAATATTTATTTTTTTTCCTGCTTGTTGTATATGTTTCACATTTTAAAGGATGCCAAAGCAGCTAAATGGTAAATGGACTGTACTTATATATCATCTTTCTATCTTATCAAGATAAAGTGTTTTACACTACAATCTGTGCCCTCATTTACCCATTCATACAACACTCTACTAGATCTATTCACAGATTAATCAGAGCTTTATCACATTCATACATCGATGGAACACACATCGGAGGCAATGAGGAGTTCATTGTCTTGCCCAGGGACACTTCAGCATGTGACTGCTGGTGGAATTGAACCCCCAACTCTCTCATTTTAGGATGACTGCTCTAACAACTCAGCCACAGCTGCCACAGCTACTGACCAAAATTTCAAGGTCAAGGCTCTTTATTGTCATACACACCACATGTGGTACATGAGGTGGAACAAAATTGTGTCACAGGGTCCCAGCTACATCCAACAATAGCAATACAATAGGGGAGTGGTGGCGCAGAGGTTAGGACCTGTGACCGGAAAGTCGCAAGTTCAACTCCCTGTTCCTGCAACATCAAAATGTGGGTGGAAAAGGTGAAACACCCACACCTGCCTCCACCCTCATTGGCCCCACTCTGGGCCCCTGAGCAAGGCATTCAACCCCCACCATCTGCTCCTAAACAGGTCTCTCTTTAAAATGAGTTCTCGTGACTCAGTGAGACGACCTGGATAAATAAAGGTAAATGACAAAAAAAAAGTTAAATGACTAAATGAAGAATCTGTAATCAGTTTTGTTTCTACAGGGATCACTATAAAATATAAGCATTTAAAAAAGTAGTTATGTTTGTCTAAGCAAAATGCATCCACTCTTTAAAGAAAAAAAAAATAGCGTGCAGTTCTTCATACTCTTTAAAATGTTGAGCTGTATCTTTTTTAATTTTCTCTAGCGGCCCCTAGTGTTCAGGAGGAGAACTGTAGCAACACAAAGTGGAGTTTTATGAAAATGCATTGCAATCTGAAAACGAGCCATGTTTGTGAGTGGTCATTTTTTAAATCAGGTAGTAAGTAATTAGTTTCATAACACTTTACATAAAATGATTCACTTGCTTGGTTGTTTTGTACTGCTCTGTCAGTTTGTTGAATCAAACTAATATCGCATCATACTGTGACTAAAGGCCGAACTGTTGAGCTGTTGTTAGTGAATAGTTAGTGGTATATCTACATATGCATCATGTTGGTCACTTACCAGAAATGCACAACCCTAATACCCAAAAACGTGCAATTAATACTTAAAGACAAAAAAAACAGTTAAACTCTAAAAAATTGCTAGTTCACTGATTTCTTCTCGACATAATAAGCACATAGGGGATTGGGCTGTTGCGGTGGCAGTCCCCAGACTTTGGAATGACCTTCTCCTTGATACTCATACTGTAGAGTTTATAAAGTTTTTCAAATCCTGACTGAAAACTTACTTTTCTTTTTTACACTGGCCTTTAGTTCCAATTTAGTTTGAATTCCATCGGCTCTTTTATGTTGTGGTGTTTGTTTCAGCCTACTTTATTGTATCTGTTTAGTTTTTGTGTGTGGTTTTATGAATTTATTTTATTGCTGGTTTTTCCTGTCCCCTTGTTGTTTTAATCATGCTAATTAAAAAAAAGACATATTTATGATAGAAAACATCTCTCATTTTAGGAGTAAAGAAGGTTTGAAGAAATGCATGGAAATTTTGACGAGGCTTGGAGTGGAGCCTTCAGACGAGGACTGCCTGGCGGTGCAGCATGTTTGCACCATTGTTTCCTTCCGCTCAGCTAATCTAATTTCAGCAACTCTGGGAGCTATACTTTCACGCCTAAAGGATACCAAAGGAGTTGCTCGTCTTCGCACTACTGTGGGAATCGATGGCTCTCTGTACAAGATGCATCCTCAGTGAGTATTTCACAAGTCGGGAACTGAAGGACAAGTTTGACGAGACATAACTGAGCTCTAAGACTCAAAAAATAATCTGTTGCATTGTCTAAATCAGGGCTCTTCAACTAAACTGCTCGGGGGCCACAGTTACTGAAAGTCAGCCGCTCAGGGGACGGACATCCAGCAGTTAAAGTCATTAAACCAAGAATTATAATGATCTGTTACCTTTTAAGTTTGTTTGTTTTATTGCATTGAATCATAAATGCAATAAATGGAACCCAAAACTCAAACCCAGAACTCCCCCCAAAATGAATATATATATATATATATATATATATATATATATATATATATATATATA